AGAATAGTCATAACAGTATTACATAATTATGAATAAAGAAAGCAATCCATTTTTAATTCCTACTGAGGCCCACTCTTACCCTCGGGGTTACGATTTGACGAGAGTCTACAAATGAACAAAAACGTGGTGGACCGACAGACAGCAGTAAAGCAATGCATTCCTTTCTTCGAAGGGAGGCATAACAGGTTTTAGGGTATAAATATTAATTAAGATGATGCGTTAGTGTATACTCTGTGGAATTGTTCACACAGCCAAGACACTGTAAAAAAGAAATGTGACATTAAATCACACACAACTATTTAATTGATAAGACCATGCCTTAGCAAAAATAAAATGCTTGTATAGATTGAATTAAACTGGCCCATTTTCTTATCATAAAGGCGCTAATATCAATAAAAAATGGTTACATTCAAACACATGGAAGTAATCTTTGTCTAAGATCTGATGGTAAGCTGTGATGAATATCAAGTCATAAACACGTACTGTAGAGCAAATACTGATAATCAACCAACGACTGAATCCCAAACACAGTTCTGTGATGAAAAACTGAATGTAAGTCCGCTAGTACATGACTGTACCCAGGGATTCAGTCCATTATCGCAGTGTATGTACTTGTGGGGGTCTTGGTGTGGGAACATCGTGATCCCTTTATCTAACTGATCCTGGGTACAAGGGTTAGATGAGGTGTGTGTGTCTTCAATACAGGTCTGGCTCTCCTGATTCCAAACTAAATTTGAAGCACAAAGCATGACCCAAGCATGGCCCCATACGTCACAGTGAATGAATTTTGTGTTATCTCTTGAGTATGCAAAGAAGAATTGGTGGTTTATCAGCGCTTGTGCGGTACAGGGATTCGCCATGTCAGGGTCCAGTGGAGTCTTGTCTTTAGATATGGTTGCAGTTGTAGATCCACAGGAATGGGAACCCTACAATTTACATAATGTTTATGAACAATTATGTTGGGGTTATCATAGAATTAAATAATGTTCAAAAATGGATGAGAGAAATCTTTATATTTTTCTCGTGGCTTCTTTTCATTTTGCCTTGTTTTGTATAGAGCTGACAGTGGCTGAAACTTGGACACCCTTGACATGGCAACACATAAACCATCAAATATGGGGTTAAATCGCTTTCTACCAAAATTTGTTTTATAATACTTGACACAAAAAATTAAAATAAATATCTAAAATGATTCAAATAATATGGGAAATTTAAGTAAATTCCTTAAAACCTGGTGATATCTTTCTCCACTGGGACACTGTGTGACGTACATCTTTTGCTGAAAGTCACACTTAATAAACTTGGTGTCGTCATAGGGGTGGGGATGGTACATCTCGTTGTTTTGTATAGCACTGGCTGTGCAAGGATTTGCAATCACAAGCTCGTTAATACCTGAAAGTAAAGCAACATAGTTTCTCTAGCTAAATGCTTTTTCTAATCCTGAGCTATGCTAATTTACTTTGATTATAGAAAGCAAAACACATACCTCCCGTTGTACCGCATAAAAATTCCTTGTACTTCCCATGCATTTGAAAATCCAACTTAGTGCATGCGCGCTCTACGTGATTTTGACGACACACTATTTCAACATCTATTATTATGAAATATTAAAATATATTTATTATTATTATAAATTTAAAAATGCATGTTTATTAAATTTTACTTTATACTGATACATGACTATAGATGTTCAGTATTTATTAAATTAGGATGTTTTGTATACCTATTTTATTTTCCGTAATGAATATTGCTTGATATTTGGCGTCGCTACAGTTTTTCAGACCAGCTGCTTCTGGAGGAAGTTTTGTTCCTACAAAGGTCGCATACAACTGGCGTCCGTCTACAGTTCTGTTAATGTAAAGAACGGCCGGATGACCATCGGTGGCCGTTAGTTTGTCATTGTACAGGACTGGACTGGGGTGGGGGTTGTCGTAGGACGTGTACACATGGACAATTCCACAATTAACAGACACCTTTCAAAATGAAAATTATGGACAAAAACGGACAACATGTTTATTATAACATGTATAGAGACCAGAAAAAAGGATGAGATATACAAAAATTGGGTTTGTGATGAAAATATGTACTCTTTCAATTTGGTGTTTAAAGGAAACTTACATTCATCTTTGTATGTATGGAATTGTTGTTGTGATGATCATTATGTTTGGTTGGTAGGGTAATTGTGACCTGGTCAGTAATGTTGCGCTCTATTGGCCTTGGTTCAGTATTTTCTGTTGTGGCAGTTGGTGATATGGTTGATCCAAATATATCAGTTACCGGACCGGTGATGGGTGGCTTGGTGTGATCAATATTTATCACAACTGGAGCTGTAATATAAGAAGGGATATTTAATGCTGAGACGTAGTCTGCTTGTATTAAATATGAATTTATATTACAAATAAAAATATCCAATCCTTTTGAAAAAGTTGCATACCTCGGCATGCAGCTTTCTTTATTTCGTACACCAGGGCGTCAATATCGGAAAACTCAGTAATGAAGAAAACGTGCGTACAGTTTGGATAACTTGCTACCTCATTCAATTCTTCCTCATTGACATTTCCTATTCCGATTGCAAATAAAACAATACCATCGTCTTTAGCGTATAAAGCTTCCTGAACGGTGCTATTAAATAAATTGGAGTACCCATCTGTGATGACGAGTCCAACTTTTACTGCATTCGGTCTCGAGTTGTAACCGAAGACAGAGGTTCTAGCAACACGGATGGCTGAGGCAGTGTTTGTCCCCCCAGCATCATACTGAATGTTATCGATCCCAGTATTTATAGCACTGTGAGTATTGTATTGTCCAAATCCAAACTCGACGCGTGCATAATCACTGAAAGAGATGACCGCCACTTCAACTGCATCAGACCCGATTTTGAATTGTTTTGTGGTATTTTTAACAAATTCCAGCATTCGCAGGAAATTTAAGAATGCAATGCTTCCTGATCCGTCCAGCATGAATGCTAAATCTATTTGACATTTCTCTGCTATTAAAAATATATATATATATATAATCAGTAAATAAAGGAAATCTTTCTTGGTTTACATGTATGCTGGGAAAGAGGTAGAGCCAAGTTATGCATAAATGGCCCTGTACTTATATCAAATAATTAACTATCACCCTCTTTCCCATTTTATATGTCAAAATAAAGTAGACACTTGGTGCTTTCATTTTCTATAATAAAATTTCGTTTTGAGAATCCAGATATTGGAAAACATGGTTTGAGAAATTGCAATGTTCTTGAAATTTGCAGAAAACATGCGTATTTCACTACCTTCAGCAAAGAATTAAGATATGAGCACAGCCCACGATCCAAAAAATAAAAAATGTGTTTTGATCTTCAGAAACAGAGCTTTCATTATGTATTTGCATATTTTGGATCAGAGGTTGTGCTCTATATGAAATATTGAAAAAATTCCTCAATTTTAGGCCATTTTCAAAGGAATTTACACAATTTAACACAATATGAGGAAAATGACGCATTTGATGACGTCATAATCAATTGACTAGATGAAAAATTACGTCACAATTAATAGATACATGGTCACCAACACTCCAAGTAATAAATACTGCACTTGCAACCTAAACTGATCGGTTTTGATTTTTCGGAAATTCTCAGGGCCAAATAAGGCCCAACCTGGCTCTTGCTCTTTATAATGAATTCACAATTAATTTTCAAACACTAATAGACTTTCTCAAATTTGATCAAGAAACGAACGAAAAATTTCAAAGAAGTAATTTTCAAGATGAATTTGGTATAGATAAAGGTAAACTTGAGAGCCTTACCATCTGGGATTTTGTTTACTTCCGTTATAAACTGAGAGGCAGATCTTCCTTTGTGATAGTTGTGTACCCAGAAATCTGCCTGCTTTTCTAGGACACCAGGAGTATTGTTACCGACAAGCTGTTGTAGTTTCAAACTAGCGGCTAATCCGGAATACAGAGGTTTGGTGAGATCCTGCCAAACTGTTCTTCTCCAATCAATGTGAAGCTTTTCCTTGATAGCCTGACACATGTCTTCTAATCCGTGGCAGTGTTTAGTGGACTCAAACTCGGATTTTTGTATCTGTGCAGTAAAGATGCTAAATACTAATGTTGCTTGCCAAATATTTAGCAACTGTGTTTATAACATTTCAGATTCGATACATGCAATTTAATGAACACGCGTTACTTTAAATTAAAATTTGCCAATTTATATACGTTCTTTTCTAGTAACACCATTATACGATTCGATATTTCAACTGTTCCATTATTAAGCAGAGCTGCCAACATTCTGAAATGACAAATAGTAAGGCGGGGTCTAAGGACCAACTAGGCCCCCTGCCCCTGAAAATGTTTTGTAAATGGGCATGCAATCTGTGTTTCATTTTTTTTTACTTTAAAACATTGACATGAATGTGATCGGCCTTTAAAAACCAAAATGACGATACAAGCAAGCGTTGTAAGAATAACAAGAAATCTGTGAGCGAATGCTCACTAGTAATACCCCCGCTCTGATACGAATGTATGCTTTTATGTAATTAATTATACATGTATGCTAAAGAAATGTAACTTTTTAAGTATTTATTTTCATTTAAGGTTAATTCTTTATCATCATTAAAGTTTATGCAGAAAGTATCTGTAAAAATACATAGAAACAAAAGCATCTTGTTAGAAATATATATATATACTGATATTGTGTTTGCTTTTCACATGATCATATACTAGTATATATAAATAATTAACATATCAATGAATTATGGAATTATTCACACTGTTAAAAAGGTTCTTACCTTCCTCACACAAGTTTTCCTCTGTTTCATGGTATCATATTCAAAATAGTTTTACCCAAGGCACAGCCATATGGAGATGGAAATGGTCTGAATAATGAATGGGAATCGTGCTTGTAATTTCTGATTCATCAAAATGTTTATTGATGAAAATACGGTCAAGTGAGCCTCCTTTTTTGTGAGTTGGTGACTGACTATAATCAATAAATCCATAGTACCGAAACAATTCGTTTAATGATTTGGCTTTAGGATTTGTAAAATTCAAGTTGAAGTCGCCACATATTATAGTAGGAACACAATCTGTAGGAGTGTGACTAAGTAGTCTGTCCAATTGCTTGAAAAACAATGTATTTTGAGTATTTGGTGGAACATACAAGAGAATGAGCATCAGACGTTTACTTGGATTCATCCTACAGGACAACACAAGACACTGGTACTGCAAATTGACACCTTCACAACGCAATTCTGACACAACACGAAATGATTTCTTCACATAGGTTGCTATTCCACCTTGCGGTCTTCTGTTTTGAACAGAATAATCTTGACGATAGAGATGGTATTCTGGACTAAGTTCAAGACTTTCAGTTGATACACTTGAGTGAAGCCAGGTTTCGGACAAGGCTATAACGTCACTGGTGCTGATGTACTGGTCCACTGAAAGGCACTGGTAGTGAGGACAGACAGAATTAATGTTAAGTACACTGATTTTAAAGAAACTGTCTGGTGGTGCTGTGACAGAACATGGAATACTCAATTTGAAGCTGTTATCTTTCCGAATTCTCTCCATTTCTTTGACAGTCCTGGGGTCAGAGGTGATCTTTGATGATTGAAATTCACCTAGAATGTAAAGGCCTTCTTTAGTTTTGACCCTGCTTAATGCTGTATACATTTGCCCAGCTTTGAATGCTCCTTTCATTGATATCACTAGATTATCAACAGTCCTACCCTGGGCTTTATGAATGGTAACACCCCATGCCAGGGTTAGAGGAAATTGTGTCCTTTTTGCAGTTATTTTTCTATGTTTCACAGTTACCTCATGAACTGAAATAGGTGTGGATATCTCATCAGGTACAATACGGTGAAGTTTGGATCTCAGTTTTTCACCAACTCTTTGTTCATCAAAGTGTACTAACACATATTTAGGTCTGTAATCACTAAACAGAGGGTCAGCTGGATCTGGATGCTGAGGTAGAAAACCAGTCACTGTTCCTGTGGCAGAGTTGGTTAATCCATCACTAGTATCTACATTTGTCGTCATCATAACTCTCGCCCGTTTAGCTATTTTCAGTTCTTGCAACATTCCACCTGGTTTCTTCTTTTCGTCGAATGCAATGTTTTCAATACGACCAGTTTGTTGATCTGTCTTGGAGTCTATAGCTGACACTTTAATTACTGGTGATTCTATGCTCTCTAACATTCGATTGTTATGTTCATCAACATCTTTATTGAAAGCAAATATATGCAGCGCTTGTTTAGGATATGTTGGTGAGGAAACATTTATTTCTCTGTTCTTAATGAGCTGTATATCATTGTCAGTATGCTTAGATGATCTTATTCTGTTGAGAGCCTTAGCGAATTCAACATCATCTTTCTGCCGCATTATTTGGTGAAGTTCCAGCACTCGGAAATTTTTCTTCCACAATGAACCATACATTGATGCGATAGAATCAGAAACTGTGTCAAACACTGGTCTTTGGGCGACTGGTGGCAGCTGGGAGAGGTCACCTACAGCTAAAACTGATACCCCACCAAAAGGCTCATCGGATGTCATAATCTCTGACAGACGTCTGTGAACAGTATACAGGTGATCAGCTCCAACCATGGAAATCTCATCAATAATCAAAAGGCAAAGATTTCCTAGTTTTTGTCGCATACTAGACAGCTGTTCTCCTGAGAGTCTGATATAGTCATCGCGCTTGGACTGATTAACTGGTAAACTGAATGCAGAATGCAAAGTGTGACCTTCAATGTTAAAAGCAGCCACACCAGTGAAAGCACAGACCATGACAACAATGTCATCTTCTCCTTGACCTACGCCTAACAATTTGTTTGCTGTCTGCACTATGGTTCTGATTAAGTGTGATTTCCCAGTGCCTGCTCCTCCAGAAATGAAGACATGGAATGGCTTTGGACGTTTGGCTGTTTTATAAGTCATTGACATTTCTATGCACCATTCAACAATGAATTGGTGGATTTCTTGCTGTTCAGCATTCAGAGATACTGTCATACTAAGCCACTGCTGAGCTGATATCTTCCTACTGTCCAATTCATACTGATAAGCAACCAACCCAAGATCTGATGTTTCATTTCCATGCTCAGGAATAATGGCTTCAAACTCTGGATCTTGTTGTGCTCCCCTGTTTCTATCTTCTCTCTCCTGTTGTTCTGTTTGTGGAGCTAGTGATGCCCAGGCATCTTCAGGAGGCCCATTCTCTTGAAGTTCTTCAACAGCTTGTGCATACTCTTCATTGTTTGGTTCAAAATAGTTCATTCTGTCACAAAAGGTTGGTCTACAATTGATGTATTTTGTTTTGTATGTACCATCTTCACCCAACAGGTCTTTGGTTTCATCTCTCCATGGTTTGTACAGTAACAGTTTGGAGTGATAGTACTGCTCAGGTTGTTTCAAGATGGAGAACTGATGAGATCTGATAATGACTGGTCTGGAACGGAGAGTTAAGGTTGTTGATTTATTTTTCAACTTTATGGATTTAGGAAGATTGTTGATTACAGTTTCTGGATCAAGTGATGTTTCCTCTAGGAGGTCTGGATCTGGGTTGGTATTTGTTTTCCGAGCATATGAATAATTTGCTGCAAAATCTGCAAGGCAAATGTGTTCAATGCAATCAGGCCTAAGTTGATATTTTTCCAGCATGCCTTCCTGGAATAGGTTTTCATCATCATCATCAAGCTCCTGTATAACTTTCATGGGTTTCAAAAGTTTTGTCCTATTCTCAGCTAAATCTGTATGAAGGAAAATGACCTGGCGTGATCCTTTAGTGAGTGGTAATGGCAATAATCTATACACTGCCTCTTGGGCACTGACTTCACGATGGGAAAGGAATTTCTTAGATACAGTCTCCATCATCTTCTTTGGACCAGCTGGTGCTGAATTCTTACTAACAGACTTTAAGACATCACCCAATGTTTTCTCTGGTTTGCTTACATATGATGCCACATACATTATACAGGCATACACATTTGTGACATACTGAAGATCAAGGTTTGCCTGCCAGGCTTTCATCAGGGTTGGGCTGTAATTGTTAATAAAGCAGTCAGATGGATTACGTTTGTACAATATAGCAGGCTGGCCTTGCTTTGTTTTAATCCAAGTTAATGCCTTCATATACAAAGCTTCAGGAATTTCAAGTTCTTCCAACAAAGCTTCTAATGTAACACCTGGATTACCGGTATGTTGCACATCTTCCACTTGACCCATAACTGCTGTCAACAACTCTGTGTAGATTGTTTGTGTTCGTTTGTCTGGTATATCCGTTGGTGGATGCACAACTGTAGTTTTACAAACAGGTGGCTTTGGAAAACTGAATCTGCATTTTGTTCCATGGGTTTTGCATGTGAAAGAGTGAATATGGCGTTGCACCGTTTGAATCAGAGATGCAAGATGATCATCTTGTTGTGGAATTGTACATGCAACATATTGATCAATGAAGGCAGCTACATGTTCAGGAGAGTTTTGTGATATTGAAGGTGCATTTTTAACCCATAGTAGCATATGGCAGTGGGGTGATCCCCTTTGCTGGAATTCTATCCTGTATTTGTAATCTTGTATTTCTCCGATGGGTTTTGACTTTCCAAGAACTAGTGTTGACATGAAGAGCTGAAGTCTATGATCGAAATGCCTTGCAGCTGTAACAGGATTAGTCCGTAACCAAGTGCTTTTTTGTTCCCAAGTCATGTTTTCTACTTGTTCATCCGACAGTTTCTGATTATGTTGTGCAGCTATCACTTGAATTGTATCTTTCCACTTCATGTCAGCAGAGGACAATGTCAGGAACCATGTACAGCTTCCCAATTGTCGTATCATTCCTAAAAGGTCATACAGTAATTTGTTAAAGAAGGCTGGTGATCCACGAACATTTTGTAGGAAATGATAGCTAAGGTCAGAGCGGGCTAGACGCCTCATTTCTTCAGCATTCTTTATCTGGCCTGCTGTTATTTTCTCCAACTGATGTTGTCCTTTACATTTTCTCATGGCAATACTTAGACAGTCAGCAACCTTTTTGGCTTCACTTCTATACTGTGCATAAAACAAATACTCTGTGGAGGCTGCAAAGCGGTTGTCACAATTGAGAATTCTCTGATTGAAGTATTTTACTAATGAAATTGGTCTCCTGCGCTGACAGTCAAATCCAAATTTTCCTGTAGGAAATAATGTAGGAAAGGCCATTTCTTCACTATGTTTATCTGCAAACAGCCCTATTGGCTTTTTACCTTCTCCTGGTGCTAAATTCAATAAAAAGTCTTTGTCTGCACTAATGTCTCTTGGTTGCAAACAAGAATCAAAAGGCAAACCAGTCACTTCTGATCGATCTTCTATTTCATTGTCACTTCCTTCATTGTCTGATTCCTGTCCTTGTTCTGACGGTTGATCTGTCTCACTGGATGAACTTGGTAAAACATGTATAGTGCCACTGTTTGATGTACCATTGCTTGTCAAAGCCTCCCAGAGTTGTGGATTATCTTCACTGCTGTCCTCTTGCCAGTTATCATTGATTATGATGTCCTGATAATGAGGATTTTGTTGTACATTCTTAAGATGATGTAAAGAATCCATAATTTTCCAAGGTCTTATTGACTGAACAATAACATGACCTCTGTACTCTATTTTGCGTTTCAATTTCACTGTTATACACGATGAAGATGATGGAAGACGAGGTAACATGGAACAGGTCTCCTCTGGATTTACTGGCACATTTACAACGCATCCATGTACTGCCTTCTGTTTACCACGGGGCAAAGCAAGGATTTTCATAAAAGGAATCCGTTTGCTTATTAAAGTTGATTCTAATGTTGACAAATCTCTCAACTGCTCTGGTATATCATCTAGAATTAATGAATTTGCTATAGCTTGCACAGGCATCATATTACGTTTCAAATTCCATGTGCATGTGGTGCAAATATACTGTTCCCCATCAATGCTTTTCTTTTGTGTATTGCATATTTCTAACAATTCTTTGTCACACATAGTCAAGACATTTTCATTATACAATACAACACATTCTCTGTACATTAGCCTATGGCAAACAGAACAGATATATGATGGTCCTTGTTTAATCATCTGCAGAAAAGTTTGTATTGCATTTTCAGTTTCTGTTGTTTTCGCTGCTCTCTGTTCCTTCATTTGGTTTCTGTTTTTTTCTCGAGTGTTAGATTTGGTTAATTCATCAAGAGTTTTTCGTTTTTCTATTTTCTGTTTTGTGTCTTTCTGTTTAATTTCAGTTTTGGCCTTTTCATTCAGTTTTTTTCTTTTCTCTTGCCTCTGTTTTGTGTCTTTCTGTTTAATTTCAGTTTTGGCCTCTTCACTCAGTTTTTTTCTTTTTTCTTGCCTCTGTTTTGTTTCTTTCTGTATAATTTCAGTTTTGGCCTCTTCATTCAGATTTTTTCTTTTTTCTTGCCTCTGTTTTCTGTCTTTCTGTTTAATTTCAATTTTGGCCTCTTCATTCAGTTTTCTTCTTTTGTCTTGCCTCTGTTTTGTGTCTTTCTCTTTAATTTCAGTTTTGGCCTCTTCATTCAGTTTTTTTCTTTTTTCTTGCCTCTGTTTTGTTTCTTTCTGTTGAATTTTGTTTTTGGCCTGTTCATCCAGTGTTTTTCTTCTCTCCTGCCTCTGTTTTGTGTCTTTCTGTTTAATTTCAGTTTTGGCCCCTTCATCAAGTGTTTTTCGCTTCTCTTCCTTTTGTTTTTTGTCTTTCTGTTTAATTTCAACTCTAGTCTCTTCATCAAGAGTTTTTCTTTTCTCCTGTTTTCTTTTTTTGTCTATTTGTTTAACTTCCAACTGTTTAGCTTCTGGGAGAGTTTTTCTCCAATTGGCTACTCGCACACTACTAGGATTATAAGATATAGTCTTCTTTACTCTACTGGTTGGAATGTCACTATCTAACTGAGAATCATCATTAATATTGGTCAACTTCCTTTTGACTTCTTCCATTGACGATACCGTATCTATATCTTGGTTATTTTTCACCATCTGAAGTTTCCAATGTCTCTGTTTTATAATTTCTCTTTCAATAAAAGAATATTGCACCTCAGTTTCCTTTTTGTGTTCTGTTATAAAATTGGCAGTAGGTACTGAATAGGAAGTTTTCACATAATCTGCTGATTGCACCTGTTTACTGGTAGATGGTTTTGAAGTATCATTTGAATCATTTTTTCTCTTCCTTGCACGCTGTCTTCTCTCTTTTATTTTTTCGTCTGTAGATTTTTTCTTTCTTGGCATTCTAATAGGTTAGTCTGGAAATGAGTAATGAATTTTAATATTTTCGTTAAAGTGTTACCACACGAAATGCTGAGCTGATATCATATATATACAGAGAAATAATTTACTGAATTCATAAAACATGAAAATAAAAGAACAATTAAATACAAACTTATTGAATTGATACATTGCTAATGAATAAAAGCTATATGAAATCCTAAAATTGATTAAAAATTTATCATGAAACAGCTGAGCATCATGTGATAACAATAAAATGATCTTCATCTGTGAAGTCTTTATCTTTGGCATCTAAAAAAGATTAAATAAAGAAAATAGAATGTAAATAAGGCATTAAAATTAACAAAGAGTGTGTTTAAATTTCAATTAGAGACATAGATAAAATTTGTACAAAATTGCAATGAATAAAACTGCGACGAAAATTTTTTACGTATAAAACGGACAGATGGACGGATAAACAGGAAGTTGACATCTGATTTGAACAAAAATATAAAGAAAATAGGATGTAAATGAGGCATTAAAATTAACAAAGAGTGTTTTAAAATTTCAATTAGAGAAATAGATAAAATTTGTACAAAATTGCAATGAATAAAACTGCGACGAAAATTTGTTACGTATAAAACAGACAGACGGATGGATAAACAGGAAGTTGACATCGGATTTGAACAAAAATGAATCCCACCGTATGACATGCCTTGGCAAAGATGGTGCTAAAATTTCAGTCATCTGCGATGAACAGTTGCTGAGAAAAATGCGACGAAAATTTGTTACGTATAAAACAGACAGACGGACGGATAAACAGGAAGTTGACATCGGATTTGAACAAAAATGAATCCCACTGTATGACATGCCTTGGCAAAGATGGTGCTAAAATTTCAGGCATCTGCGATGAACAGTTGCTGAGAAAAATGCGAAGAAAAATGCGACGAAAATTTGTTACATATAAAACAGACAGACGGACGGATAAACAGGAAGTTGACATCGGATTTGAACAAAAATGAATCCCACCGTATGACATGCCTTGGCAAAGATGGTGCTAAAATTTCAGTCATCTGCGATGAACAGTTGCTGAGAAAAATGCGACGAAAATTTGTTACGTACAAAACAACGTATAAAACAGATAGACGGACGGATAAACAGGAAGTTGACATCGGATTTGAACAAAAATGTATCCCACCGTATGACATGCCTTGGCAAAGATGGTGCTAAAATTTCAGGCATCTGCGATGAACAGTTGCTGAGAAAAATGCGACGAAAATTTGTTACGTACAAAACAACGTATAAAACAGATAGACGGACGGATAAACAGGAAGTTGACATCGGATTTGAACAAAAATGTATCCCACCGTATGACATGCCTTGGCGTGGGACGAGTGGATTCCACAAATAGCTGGTGCACTTATATTAGATCCTGTATAAACCGCAGTACCGGCTTCACCCCAAATATGCTGATGTTAGGCCGAGAAGTGACTCAACCTGTGGACCTGATGTTTACGGTTCCCAAGAATGGACAGTCCCAAAATGCGGATCAGTACTTGGCTGAGCTAATGAACAACATTAGTACAGCTCATGATGTTGCTAGAACTACCCTACAAACAACACAGGGTATCATGAAGCGTGATTACGATCTCAGGGCTTTAGTACATTGTTACAAAGTTGGAGATATTGTATACGTTCTTGATACTGCGACAATTAAGGGTAAGTGCCGCAAACTGAGTTCATCATGGAAAGGACCGGGATTTATAACGAAGCTGTCCACATACATTTACAAGGTAAAACTCCGTGGGAAAATCATAAGCATGAATCATGACCGGATTAAATTGTGCAAAGATCGGGAAATTCCGCAGTGGATCCGCAAACGTCTCGATACAGTTATGTTATAAATGTTATTTGCTAATTTATAAAATAACATATGGTTCTGATCTATGCAGTAAAGTGTTATATGCTTGTCATTTGCAACGCTGATAGAACAGTATACTTATGTTATTAATTTTATTACAGTTGAAGAAGAAGTGGACCATTCCTTAAGACCAGGGTCATGTCACTTTAATTAATACATATATATATATGTATATTTAAGTCCTTCTGGATCACCCTGTCTGTCTGTCTTTTTGTATATTATATCCCCAATATTATAGTTATTGTATTATTGAACATAAGCTTTATATCTATATTGATTAATATTAATCATGTCATCCTACAAGAAAACTTGGAAATCGGAGAAACCCTCTATACGTCATAACAGAGGAGAGCATTACGTCGCATTTGTGAGAAGGAAAACCGCCAACAGAAGTCTAGTTGATCCTCAGAAGCTAGTTTACGACTTGGCCCTGTAGAACGACGGAACTCCTCATCATACCATTTGCGACGTGATAGTAGAGCAATACCGATTAGCCAGGGATGAGGGTGACAGCAGATGGATAGAGGCGACAAGACGTGAAGCTGCCACAATACTCTGCTCAGAGAGGTGGGTTGATGAGAACCTTCCATCATTGTCCCGTAAGCCTAGACCACTGAGGAAGAGGAGGCCCCCATCAGCAACTGTTTCATCAGCCACTTCTTCAGCCATGTGTGTGGATATACGGCTGTTATCCAACCCAGATCTAGAAGTGGTACGTGAGAATGCTATGGAGCCTTCTGAACCTTATGTTGCCGAGGAAAAGTCGATGGTGATGGAAGAGGCGAGTGAAGATGACGTTTCCGAAGTTCATGATGTGGCGGAATTATCCTTAACACATGATACGGCGGATCGGGAGTGTTCCGAAGTGCATGACACGGCGGAGTTTTCCGTAGTACATGACACGGCGGATCAGGATCATCATGAGCCTACCACTGTATCCAGGCCATTCAAGTCCATTTTACCTGTAAAGTCATCAGGAGGTTATTCTGCACGCAGAGTCCAGACTGATATCAAGGAAACAGAACAGTCCGCCAAGCGACCTAGACTTGACCCTGAGCTCCTGGTAACAGTGGATTTGCATAACGTCAACCACCCGTTTTTTCAGAGATGTCCGTTTCCCGACTGTGGGAGGAAAGAGAGGAAAGTCAAGCGTCATGTTCAACGTAGCCACCTGCCTAAGCTCTTCAACGACATAAGACCGTTACGATATTTGGACGAGTCTACGTTGTCTCAGCTACAAGTTACAGCTTTGAAGTCTTTGGTAAGGAGCGTTTTAGGACCTGATGCCGACCTACTCTCAGGTGTGGACTATGTAAATCGTTCAGGAATGCTCACCCCGGACACCACTCTTCATCCAGATACACTCGTGTTTATGAGAAGATTGTGTGCACATCAAGGATGGTTGGAGCCACCTGAGGGTTTCACATTGTCTCCCCTTAATTCGCCAGCAACTCTTTTCCACTGGAGGTGTTTAGTAGTGCTGATGTCACCTTTGCAGCCCATGCAGCGCGAAGAATTTCGTACACATGGACGTGTTACAGGGGGCATCACTAGTACTCTTGATACCACGGAGACTCAAGTTCCGGTCGTTGACTCGTCGACAGAGGATGAACTTACAGTCATAGATGTCTGTTATGGATCTGATGTGGACTTTCCTACAGAACCACTACCAGTATCTCAGAGCGACCCATGTATAGTTCAGGAGCTTTGCAGTCCTCAGACATCTTCCGTTCTCGAAGCCTTTGACAGTCATTTCCATCTTGACCGGACTTGTTCCCGCATATGGAGATGTTCCTCAGGAAGATCTGTGGAGGATTTACTATCCTATTCCTATTCCAGTGATCTACATCCTAACCTCGAAGTTACAGTCTCAGGAGGAGTAGTCATCTATAGTGAACCATCAACACATCCAGAGTCTGTAGACATGTGTGGTCCTTGGAGAATGGCCGTAGGAGTGCACCCCAAGCATGTAGAGGAATTGACACCAGATAGGTTCTCCCATATGAAGAACATGTTGAACAGTCCATATGTTGTGGCTTTAGGCGAGATTGGGTTAGACAGAACTGTCCCTGTGAAGCTGTGGAGACGTCAAGATGAAGTTTTCCGCCAAGTGCTCACGTTAGCTCGTAAGGATAAAGTCCTCGTCCTTCACTTGCGCGGAATTGCCGCAGACAGGATTGGGATGGATGTACACGCACGCTGCATCCAGTTACTTAGGAAATCGTGTGATCCAGACCAACCCATACATCTTCATTGCTTCATGGGCGATCCAGAGTTGGTTAAGGAATGGTTAGACTGCTGTTCGAACGTCTACTTTGGGTTCACGGGTGCTGTGACTAACTTTAGTGCCGATCAAGTTGCCGGTCTTCAGTCCGTCCCATTGAGTCGCTTGCTGTTGGAAACAGATTCCCCATATATGAAACCTGGAGGAGGAGCTGTTAACACCCCAGCGTTCATTGGTGACGTTGCCACCGAGGTTGCTTCGAAACTTCAAGTTAGTGTACAGTACTTATTGAAGGAGACAGTCAAAAATAGCCGTCGCCTTTACCAGTTTTAGTCGTCATATGTTGAGACAATTCCCTGAATTACAGGTCTGGATTGTTTTCCGACCAAGTTCATGTGGAATATCTTATATTGATTATTCACTTTTTGCATAATTATAGGTCTGGATTCTTTTCCGACCAAGTTATTGCAGTTTATTGTATCCATTATAACTACAATAGTTTAAACGTTAATGTATCCCATGTATTAGTAAATATATAATTTAAACCTGTTAAATAAAACGGGGAGGAATGTGGTGAAATTGCCTAGTTTCACATTCTCCCTACTACATGTATTATGACCTCTGACCCTGGTCTGTCCATATGCTGGGTATATGTCACGTGGTACCCAGTGTTATCCTGAAGCTTCAGTCCCGGTTTCCCAGTCTACATTACCAGTTGTGTTATTTGCCTTTGTTACCTTGTTTTGTATTGTACCTGGACTCATCTACTGTCGCCTTTGTTTATAAGGTAAGGCGCCAGTTATTTATATTGTTTTGTAATTATCGGTTACACGACACAATTTATAACAAAAGCAATCCCAGTAAAACCATCTTCTTTTTGTTTTTCGTATTGTTACATTTTTAATAGCGCAATAAGGAAGTATTCTGTTTCTAATTTTTTTTCTCGGTTCTCGAATAGGAATCAGGATCTCCTTTTATTATATCTCGATTTAGATTGATTTTCAAATTCGGACCAGTTTATAATCAGAATCAGAAACAACTGTAATTTAGAATTTAATGATATGTCTTTTTTGAAATCTTTGTTGAATTTGAGAAATTAGAGCATTTGTTGGATGGAGTATTTAAAAAATAAAAAGTTTTCTTATTAGGCTCTTCTAATAAGGGCCTTTACTTCTAAAGTTATACATGTATGTTTATGGAGTTGAGAAACTCGAAGCAGAATTTATTCTAATTTAATTACGATTTAGTGCTTTGATGTTTGCATTGATTGTATTTTACATTTCAAGACATTTTGATTCATATTTGGAAAGATTTGTTTTTCCTTGTTATTTCCTGGTGTTATTCCATTTTTCAATATACATTGTAGGTACAGGCGTTAAAATTTTCCTCCATTTTTCTATATTGACTCTTTCATATTTTCTATGTAAGCTAATAATAAAATCTGGCATGTTAATATTTTCTTTTGTAATAAGTTCTTCATAGTTTTTCTCCCTTCTGAATCAATTAAAATCATTGATTCCAGCATATACGTAAATGCTAATATTATTGAAGAATTGTTTGAAGGATGGTGGCCATCCTGACTCCATGGAATGTTTTTACTCGTGGATTTTTAACAGACATATTTCTCCCTATTCTGTCCGTAAATATTTGAACAAATTACATATCCACAATAAAATATTTTAAACGGGGTGTTACCGGTGTAGTACCCACTACCATTACTTTGAAGACTATTAAGATTCTCACAGATTCCGAGATTCTTCTGATTTTCTAAACCATTGTGCAAGTAAAGGTGAAACTGGAAGCAGTCTTAGGTAGTGTAGATTCAAATAATGACACCAGAAGATAGAGTGTGGCTACAATGGCTGATCAAAGTTTTACACAGCAATCAATAAAAAAATCAAATCTGTTAGAAATCTTTTCAAGATCAGCACTGCTATGACTGCAGAAATGTACAAATCCTATGTTAGAGTTAATTCAAGTTTCTTCATATGTTGACCCCTTGGGGGTAAGGAGGCGTCTTTAAGTATGCTTTATAGATATAGTGACAAGAAAATAAAAAAATCAAATCCCCCTCCCCCAACAAGTACAAATGTGTTCAATACTGAGCTTATTTGTTCTTATCAATTCATTAAAACAAATATAAAGAAACAGTTTAAAGAAGGGATGAAACACTTTTTGTCTTTGTTTCGAAAAACGAGATTGATCAAAATGGACACAATGTTTAAAATAGGGATGAGACACTTTTCAGTCTTTATAACTTCATCCTTAAGTGGGTAGGTCAATCAAAGGGGAAATGTCTATAACAAAGACTCAAGTCACTCTTGCCAGACTTCAAACAGGAGACTTGTGAATCACCAATTTTCTCCACAAATCCAGTCACATGTGATTGTTGTCCACTTGCATTGCCGTCACATTAAATCACCTTAGGAAACACCTTGTGGAGGTGGTTTTTGTACGTATTACACAGGCATGTCCACAGTCACTGAATTCCAAATCTCAGGGACTCTATTAATAAGTCATCTTGATTTCTAAGTTTTACTCGTCTTCGGATATGATATTTGTATGCAGCCCACATGGTTTCGATTGGATTCATGTCCGTAGATTCAGGTGGGGTGACCCAGTGGTTTACTCGGTTTTCCTCCATCCTTGTTGTCATGTTTTGTGTCGTTATCCTGCATCAATCGATGGCCATCGGGATAGACATCAAGAACGAAGGGGAGGAGTGTTGACTGGAGGATGGTTTGGTAATGATCGTAAGGGTCGTGATCATGACCTAATTTTGTTAGGTCTGGCCTTGGCCGATCAAATTACAGAAGGTCAACTTGATGAAACATTCAGGACACAGGACATACATAAAAAAGGGTAAGCTACAGATGTAACAAGTGACAAATATTTAGACCATGACATCATTTCACCAACTTTTTTAAGGTCAAGTCCTTTTTATGAAATATTTTGATTTTTAAAAAGTTATAGTTGCTTAGAAGGACACTTTGATAGTTTTGGTTGGTCAGCCAGTCAAATTTAAGGACTGATTTGTAATTATTCTACAGCACAATAAACAGTGAATGTGAGGGGCTTTACTTAGATCATAGGAATATAGCTTTTCTTTAGATCCGGGGATTGACCTACTAACCTTCATTAAAGACGGTAATTGATTGAAAGAATACATTTGCAAAAAGAAGGGAAGGATAATAACCACGCAAATAACCGGTATCACTATTAGCACACTCAATGACTGTTATTTTTTTAAATAACTCTCTATATAGCCTATATTTTCTTTACTATAAAATTAAAAAGAGATAGAGAGAACATTTTATTTATACATACTAAGTTTTTTTTGTAATACAATTACATGAATCCAGCAATTTCTTTCTCGATGGGAGATGCAAACTGCACCCTACGTTTTTAAAATAACTCTCGATATAACCTATGATAGTGTTAATTTCATCAGGATTATTTCTCATTTTCTTTGAGTCTTTCAATGTCTCTAAATCTTTATGGAGAGGATGGGGTGGCACTGGTGTATTTTCTACCATGCGTCTTTTCAGATGACGTCGTCTGAAAGATAAGATAATTCGCATTTAAAATGAACAAAGTGTACTTGCATTTTTCAAGTATTAAATAATTTCATAATGAATTATTTATTTTGAAGTATGAAGATTCAATATTAAGGTCAAGATCTAGTAAATGAAAGTTGCCTACAGATTTATCAAACTTGAGAAATAAATTCATTTATTGATTCCTTACAACTTTAACTTGGTCAAATAAGGTGTTTCGGGGCATAATTTGTAGGCAAACAAGATGAAAAACTGTAATTTAAACTGTCATTTTTAATGAAAGATTTTAAAAAAACAGACATGAATCTCGGAGGTATTCGGCATAGAAAATGTATCAAGATTGCATACAGTCTCTCGGAGAACGGTATTTAGTGTGATCATGGCCTCTTCTTTAAATCAATATCAAATTTAATATAGGTATCCGGTTTACTTTTCATGCAGGTGTTTTTTTTTTTGTTTTTTTTTTGGGGTGGGTTATTTTTCTACATATTGCCTTTTCTTTGTGCAATTAACATCGCAGCCATTAAGGAAAGGACATGTTTATAAACATTGCATGGCAGAGACAACCTATTTTAAAACTATTGACCCAGTATATAATAAGAATTGGCGTAACTCAGTAGCTTTCCATCTGTCCAAATAATCAAGAGACCTTGGTTCTTTTGCAAATTCTCTCTGCATCTTGCCATTCAAATCGTCATATTTTCTGAAATAATTATCCGCTGTTGGTATGAAAGTCTGCATTCCCTTGGTCCTTGTTTTAAGAATATCAGCATTCTTTTCATAACGCCAACAGTAAGCTTATAAGATGGAAATAACTTTATGCATGGCAGTCCAATATCAGCAAGAGGGGATCTTCCTACCTGGTGATCATCATACTCAAAATTCTGAAAGCCATCATCAGTACGTGGTGCCTAAGTCATTTCCTCATTGAACACTACACGTAATATTAATCATAAATAGCAAAGAAAATAACGTATTCAAAAAATTAGCATATTTTACGATGATATTTCAGCTTGTTTGCCCACGGGTGATAAGAAAAGACGAGTTCACCCGTGGGTTTCCGAAGATGAAAAGCTGACATGAATTGTGCCAACTAAATGAAAATAATTTACTAATATGGTAAAATATGAAATAACTGATATGGAGATAAGGATGACAATTTAAACACTGCATGCCTTTTCAATATCATTTACTTAAAACATAGACACTATCCTTTCAGAATGCATACCATTTCCACTGTTCCTCTTAAGGAAACCCTTGTGCCTTTCTGTTTTAATTTAATAGCATTTTTTCCAGTGGAGGTCTTGTGAACTGCTGTTTTGTCTGCAGACTGATTTGTTCGGTGGCAGTGTCAAAGGCCTGCACCATGAAGAAGAATATTATACTTCTTTTCATTATCTTAAGTAAGCAATTGACAGACATATTTGATTTTGAAAAACAAAACTAAGATTTTAAGAAGCTTCCGTAATTTTGATTTGGATAGATTTTTTCAAGATCTATAAAGCCAGAATTTAAATATATCAGAAAAAGGGGATGTCAACCTTGCTTATGAAAATTTTAGTTCAAGTTTTCTAGACGTTGTAAATAAAAATGCACCCCTCAAAGAGCGGAAAATTTTACCAAATCAAGTACCGTACATGAACAAAAATCTGAAGAGAGAAATCTACAAGAAGAAAATGCTCTTTCATAAATTTACTACAATAAAATCAAATAAAAACTGGGAGGCATATAGGAAACAAAGAAATGTAGTTACTAAGCTCAAGAACAAGTCAGTAA